GCAACATATGGTTTCCAGATGATAACTTAAGTATTCTTCAATATGTTTGATTAGAATAAAAGTTATAGAGAAGGGAAAGAAGCCTATTGATATTGGGGTCCAGAGGCAGATTTAGGGAGGAGCAAGTTGCCAAGGCCCCCCTTATGGTGCTGAATTATATTTTTTTTCAGACTTTTTACCTGTTCCACTCCAAATGTTGTCTAGTTTGGGGGCCCTGGGCCCCTTTTTTTCTAAATCATAGATCTGCATATGGGGTAAGTAGGTCAAAAGTCACGGTTACTAAAAATAGAAAAAAAAGGGTTTCTAGGTGGTGACACGAGTTTTCCTCGCTTGATAAAAATGAAACTTATTCAAATGGAAGATATACATGATATAGGCATGATAGGGAAAGGAAAAACGTATTGATTTGGGACAATATGTCAAAGGTCATGAAGGTCACTGCTATGGAATATAGAAAAATAAGTACTGATATGGTACAAATGTACATGTACAGTGTAGTATTTATTTAGTATGTAAAACTTAATTGTTCCGATGAAAGGTTTAAATTCTATTTTAGAAATAACTGAGCAAACCATAAAAAGATGTTTGGGGCATGTTTTGATCTTTTATAACTTGAGAATTTGTTAGGTTTTAAAGTCAATTCATTTTTGTACTTGTATAAAGTAATATACTTTTTCACCCTGTTTTAGGCTACATGTATTATTGTAAAAGTCATAGTTGGCATATGCACTCATATGCATATGTTTTCTGGTCTTTGGTAGGGTTGTTGTCTCTTTGACATATTCCCCATTTCCATTCTCAATTTTACTCAAACATGTACAAAAAATAGTTTGAAATAACTTAATAAAAGGCTTTTATTTTATAGCCATGTCTTCAGTGTACATGTACATGTATGAAACTTCAAGTGCTGGGTACTGTAAATTTAGAATTTATTGCGATTGTTACACGATCAACACAAATCAGAGTTTAATTTTGCGATTTAAGGAAATGATGCATATAATTAAAAATAATGAATTTCCATTATTACATAAATGTATTAAATCGGAAAATGAAAAATTTGAAACTTGTTTTAAACATGACCAAATCATTGATTGTTGTGATATGTATCATTGGACCACAGGAAGTCCTCAGGGCCATAAAGATATGTTTTTACAATAATTGTCATCAATAAATATGTCATATTTATACATCTCAAGGAGAAATGTTCAGGTTTGTTTATCTTTTAAATATTTATTAAAAATTGTTAGATAAACGTATAGATCTATGGACTATTGTAGACAATAAATGGTAATATGTCATTTTTTCTTCACTTTTTACAATTGACATACGTAGCTTCAAACTACAAATGTAATGTTATATAGATTACATGTATGTTTCATAAGAATCTGTAATTTTGATTAGCTGAAAGCATTCATGAGGCATTCCAAAATGAAATTGCATTTTTCAATAAAATTCAACGTACATGACAGCATGTGATAACGTCACTACAATGCATAAGAAAGTATGAAAACACAAAATGTGCTTCTGTCGATGCTTTAAATACATCTCTATAAAATTACATAAAGGATACAACTTCCAGTTAGTCAATTCTGCTTGGACTATGAAATAGACTGGCACCATTTCTTTTGACTACAGTTAAGACTTTATTACAAATATGAAGAATTCATACATTCAGCTTTCATAAGAGCAGTTTTAATATACATGTAGAATTAGGAGATGATGTATAATTGCCAATGAAACAATTATCCACCAGAGTTCAAATGAGGTGGATGTAAGCAATTAGAAGTATGTTCAGCATTTGATCATGTATTTATTAAAGGGACCTCGGTGACGGGAGTGGTCAAAGTAGTCTATTTACAGTATCACTAGCCTGCCAACGCTGAGGTTGTGAGTTCAACCCCACACGTGGCAGGTGTGCTTGACTGATTGTAAGTTTTCCTCCTGAATTCGTGGTTCTCTCTGGGTACTCCTGAGCTTCCTCAACCAATAAAAAACTGACAGCCTCAAAATATCACAATATTGCTGAAAGTAGCTTTAAACACCAATCAATGAAATAAAATTTAGACTGCCTGCCATGGACGGTTAAGGTCTAAGCATAGTCCAGAGCATGGACGGAAGTTAATGCTCTTTTGTTGAATGCCTGTCTAGGGAACTGGTTGGCCCTCAATTGAAAGTGTACATATGATACATTAAAAGAAACAAAAAACTCTTTATTTCTAAGCTCTGCATTTGAAATAAAATATATAATGCATGATATAGCAAAAAAACTTGAAAGAAATTGATTTAAAATTTCGCAAATTTGTTTTAATAAAAATAAGGAATTCCATCTGATTCACGTAATTGCAGGGAAAAAATATATATATAAATATTCCCATAATTATGTAATTCATGAATGTAATCTGATTTTGTTTACATCATGGAAGCATCAGAAATCTGTCTGCTATTGTAATTATGTAATGTGCATGCATAGATGCACTTTTCAAATCATCAGCCTTTACTAAGACTGATGAAATGTGATTTAGATCTTGCCATTCGCGTGTTATGTGACATGCTTATGCATGTGCTGTCATCATAGTTATTTTAGCTGGTTTTCATTTTCATGATATCAGTGGATAAATTTTTTCACATAGGGCTTAAATTCATGTGTCAAACCGTAACCTTCCCATCAATATTATTCCTTTCTTCAAATTTTTGTGTGGGAAAATTATATTCTCACATTTTACATAAATGAACTTTTTTTAAGAAATAAATAAAAATAACCCCTGTATGATCCTTTCAAACTTTACAGAAGATATCATTTGATACTGAAATTTAAAGTTGTTGCCTTTTAAATTCTACATAGATTTGATTTGATTTTTGGTGTTTTAACGCCACTTTTCAGCACCGCTTTTGGGCTATTTCGTTGCGGCTAGTTTTTATTGGTGGAGGAAGCCGGAGTGCCCGGAGAAAACCATCGATAGGAAAACTGACAATCCTAGTCAATTAAGATTGGAGTCGAGTGCACCCGCCCAAGCGGGGTTCGAACTCACAACCTCAGTGTTGACTGGCTAGTGATTACAGTAGTAACTACTTAGACCACTCGGCCACGGAGGCCCCCTCTACCTAGATGAATGATTGGATGGGTTCATGGCTTCTTAGCATTCAGTGGCAAATATTACAAGAAAAATTGGTAAAATACCATGTAAATGAGGTACAGTTTTTCCATGATTTGGCAGAGGCTGTCTTTTGGTCATCTTCCTATAGATTAAGGGTCTTGATTTCTGATTAAACAATAGTACATGTATATTCTTCTTTTGTTTATCAACTTAATGACGGCCATATATTGAACATGTTGAAAAGAATACAAAATTTTTACCTACAAGTGTATGCAGACATATACACTATCAGTCCATTTAATCAGTGCATACTAGTATAAGATGAAAAAATAAATATTTAGATTTCAAGATAGTTGAAGACTTTCATGTGAGAAATTTATCATTCAAAATTCCAATCAACAAGGTTTTATAATTTTTCATTTCTGATAACTTTATTCCCTATCAAATCTTACCTGGCGATGAGGCAAATTGGAATTGAAATGTTTTTCTGAAATTGACGAGGTGTGAAATTTATTTGGATCAAGATCCTTAAATCTCGGTCATATTATTTGTATTTTGATCGTAAGATCTGTAGTGAGATTAAAAGTGCAATAGTTGAAATTAACTGAATGTCTGAGTAATATAAGAGTTCTTTTAGTAAATTATAGTTACTTGATGACTAGATTGCCCTCTGCCTTTTGGAAAAAAATCAAATACTACTCAACACTGTTTGCTCAAAGAAGCATGTATAGCACTAGCAACCTCATTGACCACAAATTAAAGGGTATTCACTATTGTTAATAGCACATGTGATGAAAGAGACGGAATAGAAATAAAAAAAAAAGGGGAGGGCATTCCAGATCAGTGAATTGGTGTGAAAAAAAGTGATTGCAGACAATTTACATGTGCATGTAATATCAATGAAAAATGCAGAGAGATGTGTAAGAGGGATTGATTCACCTACATGTATAATCAAGAATACTCATTGAGAAAAATTACTACAAAAAGTGATTTTTAAACTAAAGTTAATCACCTTGCATTTTGTATACATACATGTACTGTTTTTTTTTGGTCATCACAATAATATAAAAACAAGGAAACATGGTATGATTGCCATGGAAACAACTATCCACCAGAGTTCAAATGACATGGATATCAGCAATTATAGGTCACTGTATGGCCTTAAACAATGAGAAAAAGCCCATATCCTATAGTCAGCTATAAAAGGCCCTGACATGAAGTCGTTTTTGGCAGACAGACTAAAAAAAAGAAATATTAGAAATACGGTCATCATTTAAAAGTTAAAGATTACACTATCTGTCACCTTTTCTTTGTCTTTTTAAGATATAGACATCTTTCATTTCAATTTATTTTAAACTTATGCATTGTTATGTACATTAAGAAAAAGAGAATTTCTCCCACAATGTTCAATATTTTAGATCTCCATAATCAGTATGAAATTAACAGTAATAAAAAATTAATTGCTGGCCTTCTTTTACTGTAGGGGTCCCAACACTTATAAAGCTTAACTGAACTACTCAAATGTACCTTGACCCTAAACCCTACATGCATATATGTAATCCATACATATAGCCTTATAACCCTAAAACCTAAATCTAACCTAGAACATTACCTAACCTAACCATACTATAAAAGAAACCTAAACTGTAAAGTAAACATGGTAAAGGGACCACTAAAGAAAAAGAAGGCCCAATTAAGTGTTGGGCGGAGGCTATTTTTAGACATGTATAACAATCTTTAGGAATATATTTAAGACTTTATGTTACAAATAAATAGCTATTTCCTTATATTTCTATGAATTTCCGTCCTGGTCTGAAAAGGTTAGTTTTACATGTACATCTAAATTTACATATGCATTTTACAGGAAATGGCCATATTTAAACACTTATCAGTCACTTATCACAATAATTCGAGTAACATTGGCTAATAAGACATCTTTTGTTTTCTTTGGCGATAAAATGGAGACTTAATTTGTTTAACATGGATAATACACAATATTAGTTGATAAAACAGAGACCTTTATCATGTTTATTGATCTTTATGTAATAAATATGTTTTGAAAAAAAGGATAAAAAGTTTACAATGAAAGGAACGCAGGGTAAATCGAAAGAAAAGAAATCTGTTTCTGAAAGGTAAGGTTTTTTCATGTCTTTATAGAACATGTAGAACGGTGATGAGAGCTCTTTGAACAGAGATCAGTGGCAGATTAAGGATTTTTTAAAGGGGGCGTAATTCCTAAAAATGTATATTTACAGCCAAATATTTTTGGACAGATTTTATGCTGAAAAATGATACATTTTCAAATCAAGGGGGCCATCTACGCCTCCTCCTTTGAATCCAGTATCTTGGAGAAGACATCCAAACCATAATTATATATGTGAAATAAAGAGGATTTCAATGACGTCATGATTTCCTTTTGGACCCCGGCCCCTTTATGTACTTTTGGCCTATTATGCAATCGAAAGGGGTTAGAAAGAAGTCTTCCTTTTTCTAAGGCAAACTCAAAAATATGAATTAGAAATAATGAAATATGGTCATCCTTAAGTAAAGATTAGACTATCTGTCACCTGTCCTATCTCCCACTTTTTTTAGGTCTTCGTGATCAGTATGGCATAAAACATCATCACAGTCTCTATCAAATTGATTCAGTTTACAAATTAAAAAAAGAAATTTTCACATGCTGTGAGTACTTGTCCAGATCTGAAAATCTAATGGTGACATGATGAATATTTAATTATTGAAATATACATTTCTGGGTTCAGTGGGTTGTTTTCTGTTGACATTGGCTCCCCTTTTTTTTAAATTTTTATTGCTTATCTTCATTATAAAAATAATAATTATTTTAATAATGTATGTTCTAATTTTCAAAATTTATGAACATTTGCAATATTAACTCTTTGAGGGGTCCGTAGGTGGCTTGTTGCTAGGCTAAATTTCTTTCCATTTTAATATATATCCTCATTTTTCTGTGGTATTCTAAATTTCCCTTCGTATTCGGATCGACCCCCTATTGCAGGACCTACATATACCTTTTGTATATATTATCTTGTTCTCGTCCTGAACATACATGAGTATTTGCCACTGAACGTTAAGCAAGAGGGACGAAAGATACCAGAGGGACAGTCAAACTCACAGATCGAAAACAAACTGACAATGCCATGGCCAAAAATAAAAAGACAAACAGACAAATAATATTACAGATGACACAACATAGAAAACTAAAGACTAAGCAACACGAACCCCACCAAAAACTGGGGGTGATCTCAGGTGCTCCGGAAGGGTAAGCAGATCCTGCTCCACATGTGGCACCCATCGTGTTGCTTATGTTATTACAAATCCAGTAAATAGTCATAATTCAGTAGGTCACATTCGTGAAAAGAGAAGGGTACAACAACAATCAATTAATCTATATTTCAAAATGTAATGTTTTGGTTTTTCAATATCCATCACCCACATACATTACTTTGACATATACACGTACATCTTGAAGTGGTAAGAATTTCCAAGGTTTTTTTTGGTAAGGATCTTTCTGGGAAAATCCTGTTAGATAATTAACCCACTTTATTTAGATTTCATTCATTAATAAGCAAAAAAGTTTATGTTAATGTCAATGTTAATCATAGACCTCTTAATAAATTATCGTGCGAAATTTAAACAAATGAGTATGGAGTTTTTATGTTATAGTGATATTACTCATTGATAAAAAAATCAATTAAATAGACATGATAGATTGATAATGATAATTTTAGATGATGATGATGATGGATGGCTGCTTAACATCCAGCGTCAAATTAATATGCATATTTAGGACGAGAACATGTTAATTTAATATAAATATTAAAGAAATGGTACTCTATTTTGGTATGCTATATGTACATATAGAATTATGGCATTTTTATTTTTTAAAATTGACTTTATCAGCAAGAATATCAAGCAAGCCTAGCTGCTAGGGCAAGCTGATGAAGTCTATATAGTTGTTCGGTTGTGGGAATGAAGTCCCTTGCATTTTCCTGATAAATTGATGCGGATGGTTATGAACTTACTTCACTGATACGTGACGTCATTGCCTAATATTTTTTTGAGTATCAAGTCCAATCCATGATCTAAAGAGATACTAGGCAGTAGGTTCAAAGAGAAAATGTACAAATTGCTGATAAATGTAGAATATTTAAGGTGGTACATAACACTACAGGGAGATAATTCTGTAAGAATCAGCTGAACGTTTTAATCACGTTCTATTGTTAAGGAAATATTAAGCTTCACAATGATCAAAATTAGTGTTTGTCAAACTGCTTTTATCCATTGAAATTTTTCCGATAAAGTGCGTGATTCAAATTTTTTGAAATTTTTATTATATTTTTGTCAAAGGGTCAAAGTAAAGATTTTGTCAAAATTTTATGAAAATTAAACGAGCCAAATTAATTTTAGTCGAGGAGTTAATGGTACCACCTTATAATTAAACAAAAATATTTTAGAGAAAAATACTTGTGTATGCATATGCCTGGTCAATGCAAAATTTAGATGTGGTTCTGCACCTCTTAAGATAAGAAACTGGGCTTTGTTGCTGAGAATAGATTGTGTTTTCATGAAATACCATATTCGCTAGCCAAGGGTTACAATCCACTTGTGGATCGTAACCCTTGGTTAGCGAAGATGATGAAATACATGCATGTAATGTTATGTTTTATTGAATTGAAAAGAAAAAGTATTTTATATACATATACCCGCTGCATTTTTATGCACCAGTCCTACATTGTCTCAAGTCAGGAGCCTGCAGTTGTTCAGTGGTTGTCATTTGTTGGTGTGGTTCATAAGTGTTTCTCGTTTTTTTTATATAGATTAGACTGTTGGTTTTCCTGTTTGAATTGTTTTACACTAGTCTTTAAGGGGCCCTTTAATTTATAGCCTGCTGTTGGGTGTGAGCCAAGGCTCCCTGTTGAAGGCTGTACTTTGACTTATAATTGTTTACTTTTTAAAAAATTGTGACTTGGATGGATAGTTGTCTCATTGGCACTCATACCACATCTTCTTATTTATATGTACCTATTGATAGTTGTGTGTTTTATTTTCTATGATTTTATTGTCTCTCATAACTCTTCATATGGTGGCTCTTGTTGTTTCAAATTATAACTGATTTTTTCAATATATGTTTAAATGTATGCCAATTGTGAGGTTAGACTTTAATAGATTATTTGATATGTCTTAATGCCTCTTTCATTTTTTTTTTTAATAGACAGGATTCATTTTTAAAGAACTCATATTTTCAAAGAAAATTATTTGAAATCAATTGATTTATATATATATGTATATTAACATGTATGTAAACTTGTTAAATTAGAATTTCATATTAAAAGTGCAGTAATTTATTAAACCCAACCCCTTCCCTCTAAAAAAAAACAATCTATTGTTTTTCTTCTTCAAAAACAGCAATATCCATGAAAATAAAACTTTTTTTAGGTGTTTTAATAATCTTTCAAAAATCACAAATTTTTTGGCCAATAAAAATACAAGTTTATCATGTTTATGTAAATTTTATCAAACAGATTAACGTGTCACATTGTAGATAATATTTTTTGATACATGAACTAAAATTTAATATAAAACAAATAATTTTCCCTTGATTTATATGCCAGATTTATAATTTAGAAGTTTTTAGATATATTGCCAAAATTATAAATCTTATGCTTATATATTAGCAGGTGTTATAAGAGATTACAGGTGGGAAAAGTAATTAACAGATATACTTTCTAATTAGCCGCCCACAGAGAGATCAACTTAACAGTAAATACTACATGTGTTATGTAATTTTCATATTTTCAGTGTCAAGGTCGTTGATTATAAGTATGTCGATAACATATTTGTGTAAGGTGCTTTAGAAATCTTAAGAAAGCTTGCCAAGGATTCTTAATGATATATTTGGCAGAGTTGAAGAATTAGTTTGGCAGATAGAAATCTACATTTGATTGACAGTATGAATGAAATAGTAAATCTGAAATGAACAACTCATTTTTTGTTGTTGATGTATCTGTGAGAATTTAGTTGTACGAATTTCAGACAAATTATGTCATTATATATATATATATAAGTATTAATCTAAATTTATAGTGATGACGTTCTTAAAGAAATTCTCAGAATATAAATGAAGTTCCTGACTTAAATTGGGACAGGCACATGAGTAAGTGTAGCAGATACATGTAAACTATTATTTGAAGTTTGCACTCTTTCCTCCTACTTTTTAATCTCACAGTTAGTGGAACAACTAAAGGTACTTAAAAGAATGTAATATAAAAAGCAGTTACGTGTATCACAGTTACTGATTAAAAAAATCTTTAAAAACTTTGTACTGTAACTTGTGTAAATGTACTAAATGCAGTCAAACACAAATAATCGAATAATTTATGAATTCCATTCTGCTGAAATAAAAAAATATTGTCATAGATTCAATATCTGTCAGGGCCTTTTAGCATCATGGTAACTTCAATGTGATGCTATATTTCTTGAATGTGATGCTATCTGAAATTAATTTCTTATAGATTGTGTTATGGTTGTACATGTGATGCTATCATTTCTAGAAACAAGATGGTCATAATTTCCTGTTTACCAGGATGCTATATGAAATTTGTAGGGAGAACATTGAGATTAGATACACACATATATGGTAGAAGTGCTAAAGTCACTTGTGAGGGGTGGGAGATCCATTTTGGGATGTCAGGATTAAGCCTTCATTTTGCGGGAATTCAGGATTTACACTTATCGGATCTGGGAAAGAATGCTTTATTTTATCGGGAATTCAGGATTCAGTGTTTATTATTCCAGGAATTTGGGATGACACTTCCTACCCCCACCCCCCTTTCACCACCCACACTTTTTTTTCATAAATAATACACCATAAACAGTGTGAAGTAACACTAGTACTTTTAATTTAAAATTTCAAACTGGAATCATATTTAAAGGGGCATTAGCTGTCAAATTCATGTTCACCGATTTGACTCAAATTCTCATATTTGATTTATAACATACTAAAACGTATATCCAAATAACAATAAGTCTGAAATAAACAATTAACAATGCACAAACTCGATAATATATATCAGCATTTTGTGTGTATTTTAGTCCGGACAACATCTAATTAACCATTGAGATGACCTCCGAGGACTGCCAACGGTCACATAACCCAATTTAAAAATAAGCATTAGTATAAATAGATAGTGACCTCAAGTAATTGGACTTTTCCAGGTCTGTTTGATTTCATGTTATAGGTTAAAAAAATAAGTTATTCGTTGTTTTTTTCCTGTATAAGAATGATTTTTTGTGGATCAAATCAGTCAACGAAATGATTCATTCTTGTTTCACTTTCAATGTTTACATTCTTTTCCTTTTAATGGCTGAACAAGAATAATGCATGTGTAAGCAATCTCTAGCTTATAGGTTGAATTGAAGGTCACATGAATACAGATTCAATGAGGTCGAATTATTCACTTGCAAGTGAATAATTCATCAGCGATGTTTCTTAGCTTATTTTGACAAAATTGAACTAAATTGGCTGCTAAAAGCAAATTATTATTTCACTATTTCACTTACTTTAATGATTGAACAAAAAAAAATCATATTTCATTTTTTTTATATATATATCTCGTAGCTAATGCCCCTTTAAACAATAAATCTGTATATGCTTGTTATACAGGTACAATTGTATTATCATGATTAAAGTTTTGTCTATTTGTAATACTCTATATCCCTGTTTTTATATATATCTGAGATTACTGTAGCATAGTTTCAGTGTATATATATTAAGTTTTGTATGCAAAATTTTTCATTTATTGCAATTGGGCAATTCAAAAATTCACCAGCAAGTGTGATTTTACTTGAATGAATCATATTTGTACTGCATGTATACATGATATGAAACTTGATAGATTATAGCATGTGGGCTGAAATGGAAGTACATATATATATACCATGTATACCAGTTAAAATAAAGTTTTATGTGGGTCTGATATTTTTTTATAGTTTGTGTATACTTGAAATATTTACAAGAAGGAAATAGGGGTTAACATGGTTAAGAGGACACTTAAAATTGCTAAAACAGTTAAAGTATCTCATGTTTTCACAAATTGTTTTAAGTGGAAAATCCAAAACGTGATGAGAAAATAAGCATGATAAGCAACAAGAGCAATATTCTTCATCATTGTATTTGGAAATTATAAAAGAAAGGATGTTTTTCCTTCCAGTTTCAGTTTTCATAACAACAGAAGAACCACAAATGATAAAAAATAATGAAAACATCACTTTAAAAATTTCATGCATCCGAAGCAATTTTCTGGATTTACCTTCATCAGGAAAGCTCATAACAGAATATTTGAAAGCCAAGGATGTATAGTAGAACTGAAACAGTTGGAGAGCTAAATGACCAAAAAGGTCCTAAAAAAATCCTTTTTTTTTCAGGTTGAAGCCATCTGAAGATAACACCATGAATGATGACAACAGAAGAACTGAAAATAATTAATTTTCTTTTTTTTTCAGTTTGAAGCCATCTGAAGATGACACCATGAACGAAGATGAAGGACAGGAATGGCTGTATGATTTATTGACAGAGGTCCAGTTGAACCAGTTCTATACCAAACTTAGAGATGACCTACAGGTCACCAGGTAAAGTCACATGGTGTACAGGTCCTTTATGACTTACAGACAGAGGTCCATTTGCACCAGTTCTATACCCAAACTTAGAGATGTCAATACACTAGGTCAACATATAAAGTCACATGGTCTACAGGTCACACGACTTTTGACTTTATGACTTTCTGACATAGGTCCAGTTAAACCACTTCTGTACCAATCTAAGAGATGATCTAAAGGTCACCAGGTAAAGTCACATGGTCTACAGGTCACATGACTTTTGAGTTTATGACTTTCTGACATAGGTCCAGATAAACCACTTCTGTACCAATCTAAGAGATGATCTACAGGTCACCTGGTAAAATCACATGGTCTACAGGTCACATGACTTTTGACTTTATGACTTTCTGACATAGGTCCAGTTAAACCACTTCTGTACCAATCTAAGAGATGATCTACAGGTCACCAGGTAAAGTCACATGGTCTACAGGTCACATGACTTTTGACTTTATGACTTTCTGACATAGGTCCAGTTAAACCACTTCTGTACCAATCTAAGAGATGATCTACAGGTCACCAGGTAAAGTCACATGGTCTACAGGTCACATGACTTTTGACTTTATGACTTTCTGACATAGGTCCAGTTAAACCACTTCTGTACCAATCTAAGAGATGATCTACAGGTCACCAGGTAAAGTCACATGGTCTACAGGTCACATGACTTTTGACTTTATGACTTACAGACATAGGTCCAGTTAAACCACTTCTGTACCAATCTAAGAGATGATCTACAGGTCACCAGGTAAAGTCACATGGTCTACAGGTCACATGACTTTTGACTTTATGACTTACAGACATAGGTCCAGTTAAACCACTTCTGTACCAATCTAAGAGATGATCTACAGGTCACCAGGTAAAGTCACATTATCTACAGGTCACATGGCCTTTATGACTTACTGACAGAGTTACAGTTGAACCAATTCTATACTCAAACTAAGAGATGTCACTGGTTACAGTCATATGGTCTACAGGTCCCATGAGCTTTTAGTTTACACGTATGACTTTCTGACAAGGTCCAGTACAACCACTTCTTTACCAATATGACCTTTATTAAAGAGGTCAAGTTTAAGTCTCAAGCTTAGAGATGATCACAGGTCACCATATAAATTGGACAATCTGTAGTTCACATGACCTTTATGACTTGGATGTTCACCACATAAACTGTCATATAAACTTTATGTAGGAGTCTACTCTCTTTCTTTAATTTCTATGATAAGTTTAGAGACCCAATATATTATTAAGTCACCACTGTAATACTCCAATGAAAAAATCCCCATGGGTGACTGGGCAATAGAAATATGGTCACTTTGGTCTTCTTCCAACCAGCAGTAAAACCCTTGCCAAATTGGGTCTACTGTTTGGCTGTGCAGATGTACAAGTATGCAGCCATGTCCAGTCAGAATAGGGACGTTAAATCAGAGGCCTTGTGTAAGGAGAGCGCAACACTTTCTGCACGTTAAGAACTAACAGCTCTTTGAAGGGTCTGTAGGTGGCCTGTTGCAAGGTCAAAATTCATTTCCTATCCAGTATTCCCTCATTTTCCAGTGGCAGTCCAAATCTCACTGACCATCACCCTGGACTGCCCCTATTACGGGACCTACATATTGTTTTTATTGTTCATTTGTTCTCATCCAGAAAATGCATGAAATATTTGCCACTGGACTTAAAGCAGCTCATAGTCAATCAAACAGACAAAAGTTACACGATCTTTTGCTATTTTGGTAATGTGGCTAACAGCATCAAGACCTTGATGAAAATATTTTAAACATTGTAGATCTATACATATGTATGACCTTTAATTCTTTAGGTGAGAAAACATATCTAGATGACCCTACATGCCCTAGCCTATAGCAATTTGTCATATTTGACATGTGATCAAATGATAAAGATGTCAAGAAGATGTCAATATCAAATATGTTGTTCACATTTCTGTGAAAACTGAAATCTAATGTGGATCTGTTTCCATTTATTTTTAACTTTGAAGCATTATTTTCCACTTAATACTTCTTCTAAGAATGCTTGTAACCATTAATAGTTTTTACAGAAACTTACATTGATGTAAATATTTAAGAAATGATATATATACAGTACCATCTAGGCATTTCTAAATTAAAGTTGACCACTGGTCAAGCTCAATTTGAAAAAAAACAACACTATAACTTTCTTAAAATTCAAATGTCTCAACAGTATTGACAATAAACTTTTAGTTTTAATTTGATTCTATTGGCCTGTTGAGATGATTTTTACAGGCCCAAAATCAATTTTACAAGCCTGGGCTGTTAGGCCTGTGGTTAAGTGTGAAGACTGTCTAAATGCTATAAAGGCTTCAGGCTAAGTCAACTTTGAGGATGTGAGATGTGTTTGACTCAGATTTAGGAAGTGAGGTGTGTTTGACTGATATTGAGGATGTGAGGTGTGTTTGACTAAGATTGAGGATGTGAGGTGTGTTTGACTCAGATTGAGGATGTGAGGTGTGTTTGACTCAGATATTAATGGACAAGGGTCGCCAGTTTTTTCGCTGAAGGTCAATGGTTCTCTCCAAGCTCTCTAGCTTCATCCACTAATAAAAAAAACTAGCTGCCATAATATACATGATATAGCCAAGTTTGCTGAAAGTTAAACTAAACAAACAATAAATTCTTAGATGATGTATGATATACAGCAGGTATGAAATAAGATGCTATTATTTTTTTTTATACAGTCATGTTTAACATATGATGATTTTTTACGTCACTTTTTTATAGCCTACTTTTACAATCATCTCTGTATTCTAAATCAACCCAATAACCGATATGTTATCACAATTTCCTGCTCAGTGATATACATGTATACAGAAATTAACCCAATTAAAACATTTGTTCCATCTCTTAATAATGTCAATGTACTGACATAAAGATATGTCCATCAATTGCACAAAAAATTAGATTAACATGATCTTGAACCAAATACTTTGATGGAATGATAATGATTCATAGTATCAAGCATAGTGCAGACTGTACAAGAAACCAAGTTAATTATATTCTGGGAATGAATGGCAGGGTTAGATCCCAGATTTTTGAAAAAAGGGGGGTCTTAATTCAAGATATACATATACCCCAGACATGCCAGAGTGAATGGAGGTGAAATCTTTTTTTTTTGAAAATTTTATACCAAAAAAAATCATTTAAATCAAGAGAAACATGAGATGATGTTTTTGGCGATAAAATCTTAAGGGGGGAGGCATAATACACTCTCTGCCCACACCCTGGATTCACCCCTGAATGGTGAAAAGCACAACTTCAGTTGTCAATTATCTGATATTATATGGTGATCAGTAAATGAATTTGGAATGCTATTCTCAAACCTAGTGTAAGAACTAAATAACCAAATTGAGACATTGAAACTTTTTTTTACTTCCGAAATATTTTATATATTTTATTCATATACCTGAAATATGAAAAAAAGAGAAGTAAAAAGCATGTTGACACTTTCTTTTTACTTCCGAAAATTTAATTCAGACCAGATATTAATATTCTCATCAATCATATAAAGCAATAATTATAACATTAAAACATGCTCTGAACTTCTTTTTTCTTTTTTTTTTCTTCTAGTTAATAATGATATATGATTATAGCATTGAAGATTAAACCAATACATGATTTATTCATGTATGAAATGTCTATTTCATGATAAATGTATAATTATCAGAGAAATCTTTCACAAAATCTTGTCATATAAGTCGGGTTTACAATTACAGGTTTAAAGAGAGAATTTTAACCACTAAAGGTTCACATCTGTTTTGTCTATTGATAAAGGATATAGTATCATATACATGCCCCCTGCATTTGTGGTTTTCAGATATCTCATTACGATTATTTGTAGTCTTAAATTGCAATTTATATATTGAATGACTGTTAATCAAATTTAACCACAGGTAATTGATTCTGTATGGAGTCAGGCAGATATAATGTAAGCATAGGTTTTGCCTTCCATCCTCTAACTAAATGAACTTTTAATTAAGTCGAAAAGCATGCCGACCCCATTTTTAGACATTAAGTTGCGGTTAGAATATCTATATGATGCCATAATGCACTTGGAAAGTTAGTTCATCTATGTTGAAGATTCTCTGCCTCTGACCCTTTTACAGTTCAATTTGTGTTGTTAAGATATAAGAATGAGGTGATGGTACGATTGCCAATGAGACTATGTATCACCTGGCACCAAAGTACGAGGATGTAAGCAAGTATAGTGCACTGTATGGCTTTCAACAATGAGTAAAACCCATATACATGTCATACCTGAACCATTTTTCGATTCAGTTTTTCATAAATATTGGATAGGACAGCTGTTTGTTATATGATACATGTAAGCTATATATGTTATACATAATGTCCTTTGTACATCTTGGTACAAGGATACAGTTCACACTTGTTTTCGGTCTTCACATGGTTTTATTGTGTTTAAACAGGTTTCACTGTGCTTAATAAAAGACTCTGTGTGGAAAAATAGGAATTTGCAATTTTTTGAAACAGCAGAACAAAATTCCATTAAACTTGCAATGATTCTTTTACAGGAAAATGAACTTATGCACCTGCTATTTTAATTTTTCGATCCAAGTGATTTTTTGGGGTTTTCCATACCTAATCATTGACTTATAGTCACTTATGTTATTTGGAGACACTGACTGTAGGAGACACAATGATCATTTTCTTTGGAAGACTTGCACATTTTTATTTCATATTGTTTTGAAAATATGAAGGTTCCACTAGTATAATAAACACAGGAGTAACAGGACTAAGGTTGTACTAATTTTTCATAAGGTTTAAAGACCTCATGGTTGACCAAAAGTTATGTATTTTTTATTACTGGTTCTTACATTTTTTTATGGTTGTTTCATTGATTCAGCACATCTATCTGCCTCTGCGTCATATTATATCATGCTCATGTCGTAATAAACATAAATTTGTGAAAAGTTTGATCTGTTTAATGTTTTT